AAATAATGCATACAAAAGAACTTTATTTCTATATAAAAAAATGGGAAATGGTCCAATAAGGGTAGCCTCAGATAAATTTTAAAAAGCAAAAATTAAATTAACGATAAAAGTATTAAAAATTAAAATTAAACTTTTTAGGTGAAGTTGGTTAAACATTTTGCCTCCAGATAGAGTTACTATTACGGAATTTTAATTTGTTAACTTTTTGATGAATTTATTCTATTTCAAGTTTCTTCAAAATTTGTCCTTGGCAGTGATAGTATTAAATTTAAATTATTTTTTCTCTTCGATTTCTATTGGTTGGATTCATATGAAATTTGATATGCAATTCGAATATTAAAATACCTACATGACAGGAGAACCTAACTATTTAATATAATAATTATAAGTCATTTGGGTATGACTTGAAATTTTAACATAAGGATACTCGCACACTTTAATTTAATTCATCAAGCATTTATATGTTCAAATAGTAGTAGTAATTATCTATTGATTTCTTCATTTTTTTTAAATATCTTTATAGAATAATTTATTTCTTTTATTACATAATATTTTGTATTTAGTGGATTCATTTTTGTTCAATCAATTATACAAAGATTTAATAATACATATTATACAAAATACAAATCTATAATATTATGGTAGCAATGTAGCTTTTTTTTTTATTTTTACAAGAAATTTACAATCTGTTCTTAACAAGAGTAAAATAAGCAAATGTGCATAGGGTATTTACATATTATGCATATTTTGAGGGAAGAAGCCCTATAGTTGACACTATCTATTTTGTGTTCTTAAGTTTTAAGTTAAGCTAATTTTAATTTTGAGACAGAAGGTCCCGTATATCGTTGGTAATGAATATACTTAAGTTACATCTTTATTACGACGTTAAGTGTTGAATCTTTAGGTGAGCAACGTCACATGACGCATGAACAGAACTAAGGGTATGTAATTTTTGATAATCACAAAGAAACACCGAACAAAACGAAATGGTATGAGGTTTTTGCGCCTTGTCCGTCTATATTTTTGGGATCATAAGTCACCTCTCTTCTTTGCCATTTTTTATAGATATAATTTGATATAAATCGTCATATGATAAAATGCATTCTATTTATAGAACTCTTTCAACTAACATAGTAACATATTACATAGTGTATACTATAACATCATAATATAGCTTTCTACTTAGCTATACATTGTGCTTGCCAAAATTGAACTACATACAAATCACTGAATCGGTCCACAATTTTGGGGAAAAAATCAAGACCAAATGAGTATGATACCTAAATATTATTTATAAGTTGAATAAAAATGAATTCACAACACCTATAATATATTGTATAACCATATAGGCAATATACTAATATGTATGTACACTGTACAGTGGTCTATTTAATATTTTTCTGGTACACGTGTTTTACACGACCCCTTGGAACTCGCCCACGTTTGTGAAGGACCTAATAATTATTATTAGAGACTAAATTGTAAAAATATATAGAGCATATTATGTAATATTATGTCGTCTATGTGAATATGTATAATATTATAGTCATTAGCAGAGCTTACAGGTTTATGCATTTGCGTTTTTTTTGCTACACAGGTAAACATGCTAACTGATATTATACAAATCCATTTTATAACAATAGTTATAAAAATATAAAGTTTAATAGTGCACTCATTAGTCATTAGTCATATATATATATATATTATAATATGTAATATTTTAATTTTGTTTTTGCCAACTCTATAAGTACCTCATAAGGGTAATTTATATGACGTACCTATGTATCGATTTAATATATTTAATGTATATTATACAGTTTATACAATATGTATATATATATTATATATTTATATAAATAATAATGGTTATGTCAAGCGCCCAATTAATTTGCACGCATGAGTTCTGTTCAATTAAAAAAAAAAAAAATTAGCATTAAACAATTGAGTAGATATTATACTGAGTATAGTCACATATTATTATGTTTATTTTATATTTAAGAGTAAATGTATAATTTCGGGGAATACACTTTGAGTTAAATACTAATTTAAAAAATATGGATAATATAATATACCTAGGTATATACCAATATATAGGCCTAACCTATTTAGTAATAGTAATAATAGTATATATTATAGAAATTTGTATAGCCACTATTATAATCGGGTAGGTAGGTCGTAGGTATATACCATTATATATGCCATGCGCCCATGCAGTAAAATACCGAAACAAAAGATTAATGAAATAATAATAATATATTACACCGATTCTGGTAATATGCTTTCTACAAACCCATGTTCATATTTATGTTAAATTCATCCTGCTGAAAAGGTAGATATAAAAGCAGTCTATATGAAATATTTAGAATGTAGATACATGAAAAATAATTATTGGTAGCTTAACCCAATAGTTGGAAACTACTATAGTCTATATAAGTCTATAAATTATTTTTATGAATGTGAACAGTGTAGGTATATTACAATGTCCACTCGGTGTCGAGGTCCTGGAGTCTTATTTCGTAGTCGTTCACTCGTTCATATTTCATTTACGAACACAATATTATTTTTTTTATCAATTAATAATTTGTAGTCGTAAATATGCGAATGTGCTGAATGCTAACCTTAAAAAGTGTTTAAATAAATATAACCAGCCCCTTAACGGACTAACCCCCTTCTAATCCAGCTTTGGGTAGTATACTGTTATAATAAATACCTTTGGCATTTTTTTAAACGCCGTGCATTAAATATTGTGATTTTTATGTACAATGAAACTATATGAAAGTGCTCAAAACAAAAATCTTATCGATACTGCGATAACAATGGGTAAATATGTAGCCATAATAGGTAATACAATAATACGTCATATACGTCATAGGTAGGTACCAAACAACACCAAAAGATTTATTATAATATATAACACTTAAGTGTTCGTCAGTCGTCGCACTGATCGACGAATATTATAATATTATTCATTTTTACTTGGTACCTATTGATTATAAGTATTTATTACAAATTACTATCACATATTTATTATATATGTGGCATGAATCATGATAATTGTGTATGATGTTTATGACTTAAACCTTAAGTTGCCAGTTGTTTAGATGAGGAAACGACACGTAGTTTATCATACTGCGTTTAAACGTATATATTATTTAAATGAATTTTCATTCGAAATGTGAATGTTATACTTAGGCATTTAGCCAGATAAAACTAAAATGGTTTTAAGTTGCAACATTGTATAAAAAGCGTACCCCTACACGATTCTTCATCACACATTCACACGCGTATCTACCTAAAATGTATATTATTAGTGGTAGTTACCTATCTACTTCAACTGTCGCCAGGCAAATATATTTTCGTTGATTATTTGCTGCAATCATGTATGACATGAGTGATTTATAAATCATACATATAGTTACCTACACGGCTACACATATATATATATTATACCACGATATATACCTATTTATATGACGGTATACTGTATAGTGTATGTATATATTCAAAGAAACAAATCGAAATAAATCCTAAATAGATTAAGGATTCTAAGAATCGGAAAACATGTATTTGCTTTGCTCCTATTCGTTCATAGAGCATATTCATATATTACGTTATACATTATCGTAAAGATAAAAAATATACATGAAATTATTATTTATATATTGGTTTTTGTATATACCTACTACTTACATTATAGAGAAGACAACATCATGTTATAGCCTTCGCCCTCCACCGACCTACTCGAAATTTAAAGACGAACCTACTTTGTGTGAGTGTGTATTTTTTCTGTGTGTGTGTTGGCAGGTAATCACTAATCCACGGTTGACATTATTATAAAACACAATAACGTAACAAGTGTGCACAGAACAATTATCGCAATATCTCGGTCGTCGTTCATCGGGTCGCGGTTGTTAAGTATTAATTGATTTTTTAATATTTCACTAATTATACCACATGCTGCCGTGTACTACTATACATTTAGAAGCCACCAAAAGTTAAGACACGGTTAATAAAAAGTAATAACACTGTGTTTTCGTATAGGTATATAGGTACCTACATGTATAATTATGGCATACCATATGACATCAGGACACATATAATACAGATCAGTCGTTAAAATTGAAAAAAAAATTGAAAAAAAAATATAATAACGACCACTGTAGCAAAAACATGCGTAAATTATAAAGAGATAAAACTAAACAATTCCGAGTAACAGCTGCAGTGCGTTGATTCTACCTTTATTCATTTTATTGTAGACATTATTATATCATTATTTATAGAAACGAATGCATTATTTTTATACACGTTTTACTTGTGCCGAAAAAGAAAGAAATATTTTATAATTTATCCCGATCTTGTTAGAGTTTGTTATCTTGTACGTCTTACGGCATACAATCAAAAATATCCTAATCTCTGCAATCATTTAGGGAAGTATCCTAAAAAATGTCATTCTAAATTACTCATTTATACTATCGACTGTATAATATGAGTGAGTTGTAGGACGTACCATTTGCATAGATATAATATTATCGAGTGCTGATAAGAAATCGGACAGTGATAACTGATGATTATGGACAGCAGTATTGCGGACCTCTGAAAAACTTGTACCTCTATAATACAAAAACATATTATTGTACCTGAAATGCTGACTTGAAGTCACATATGTGGCCTGAAAGAGATCGACGTGCGTAAATGTCAAAATGTATTAGTAAATCAAGTGATGCCCGGAAGACGACCTTTAAATATCAGCTTGGCGTCGTCTTCTTTTGGGCGTGGACGGTTTTGAATTTGGCGCGCTTTCTTTGGAGGCCGTCGATTAGAGAGCCGCCGGCGGCCATTTTGAACAATGCCGAGCAGCGTTTTGCAGGCCGCAGACGGCCATCGCCACCGTCGCCGCACCGCCGCGCCACCTGGTACCGCCGCCGCCGCCGCCGCCGCCACCACCACCACCACCACTAACCAGACACCAACTGCACCGCACCGCCGATCGCGTTTTACGTTCGTCACGGTTGGTTTTCGTTGTTTTTTTTCTATTCCATTTCCTACTCCCGTCCACCCGTTCGGTGTAGCCCGTTAGTTACTGGTTTCGTAACCGGCCGCCGTGCGTTCAGTCTGTCAATTTTTTTATCATCATCCGCGGAACGCGTCTCTCGTCGCAGTCGCCGTCGCTCGCTCACTCCGCACTCGCAGTTCGCACTCGTACTCACTCACACACACACACTCACACACACACATATAAACTCGCGCGCGCCGCTCTCGCCCGGTTGAATTTATCTATTTTCCACGCGCCCGCGAGTCCGAACCAAGTCGGCCGCGCCGTACACGTCTCCGCGTCAACCGACCGATACTTTTAGCGTCCGACCGTCGTCAAAGTCGCTGTTTCACGTCAGTGTTACTCGTTTGGACTTTCGTCGTTTGTCGCACTACGTTCCCGGCACAATCATGAGCACCTTGGCGGAGACAAATCCAATTTACGGGCCGTTCTTCGGCGTCATGGGCGCGGCATCGGCCATCATATTCAGCGGTAAGCATTACGACGACGGCAACAGTAATTGTTATGTTGTTGATGTTATTATTATCAATGACACCACACTGTCGTTGAGACGGAACCACCCCGGGCCACTCGCCGCCGACGCTTATGGCGGACCGGGCGGCGTTCGATCAATGTCGCGCGGCCGGCGCCTAGCGCGTTTTCGCCGAAAAAACGCGGCCCCAGAGCGAAAAACTCTCACGGCCGCCACACCCACCCGCCACCGCCGCCGTCGGTCGATACGCGGGATCTGCCCGTGATGATATTCGGATCACGAGGGACCTACGGCGTCGGTGGCCGCGGCGGCTGTTGGGCCCAAAGCCCCAAACACGACCCATGCGATTGTCGGGCGGGTCGACCCACAAATTTTCCGGCCGAGTTACGCACGCACGCGTTTCGAGACCCACATGAGTGGTTGTTTTTAGGCGTGGCCTGATAGTCACGGCTTTCCTATTCTCGTAGCGCTTGAGTGCTTGGCGTGTTACTTACCCACTTTGCATTTGACGACCGATCGATTTCGAGCAAAACCCTGTGCCCCTAGCACCCTCCCAGCGGGGACACCAATTTCGAGTTGACGGACTGTCTGTAATTCTTTCGAAACCGAAAAATTCGGTCTTAACCACTCGACCAGGGAGCCTTATTCTTTCCAGACGATTTTTTTTATAGTTTTCTGAACCTCAGAACCTCCCCGCGGTTGAAATTTAGAGTTCGTTGGGTTCCGGCGGCGGATAAAGGTCGAGATAAAATCCGTCATTTCGCCTTTCGTCTCGAGGCCGCCGCCGCCGCAACCTGTTCGCGTCGCGTGTCCCACATACACATGGGCGTGACCCAGTCGAGTTTTTCGAATACTCGCGTCCCGAGTGCTCTTCGGTTTTCTTTCCTATTCCAGTAAAATGTCTGCCTGGCAAAAGATCCTAGGATCTGTCCCGAATTCCCAATTCACGTTCCCGAATATTCCTTTTAGGATAATCGTCAAATCATGGGCGCGGCGCGTGAAGGTCATTTAATTAGATTTCGATCTAATCGAACCTTATCTATCTCTCTCACTCACCCATCTGTGGTTAGGTGAATTTTCAGTTGTTTTGGAATTTCAATTTTCTAACAAATAATAGCTCGATGACATGAGACTTATGTGTATCTAGGTCCAACATATTTGTAACATTTCCCGTACACTTTGACGATGACACACGTTGCTTTGGCCATAGATTAGGCGTTATCTGTTTGTCGTTCGCAACACCTAGTACCTACTGGGTATATTGGTCCAAAGTCTTCCATTATTATTCAACATGTGTGGCCGATACACCTATTACATAAGTATTCCTTATAATGCCTGCATTTTATGGTGTAATGAAATTTTCTGTATTTTTGATACCTGCAAATTTGAAAAACCACACCCTTTTTATTATTATTTTTTTTTACACAATTTTGACATTTTGTATTAACCAATAAGTAAGGCAATGTTTAAATTGTCAACACTATGAGTATTTGAATGAAAAATGTACATTATTATAACTTAACGTCTTTCAACTTAACACATGACTTGACTATATATATAACCACTATAGTCGTGAAATAACTTAAATTTCTGTTCAGAATCCAATGCACATTGATGTATCGATTCTTCTTGTTTTTGGTTAACTCTCAATTTTGTAGAAACATCAACTAACAACAACAACAACTCTAATTATCACAGTATGCATTTAATGATATATTTTTCAATAATTACAAATCTGTTTGAGTATTTCTATTGGTGTAGGTGATTACAATGATATATTTTACTTGATTAAACATTAAGGAATTGAACATGACAACTACAGAAACAACGTCTTCAATTTAACCTAATTAATCAAATTGTTAATAATTTTTCCTAACGACTTTCAAGTGTTTTATTTAATGAACATTCCATACGGTGTACATTTAAACAAAGATTCATACAAAATGTAGGAGTGTAGCTTATAATAAACTATATAGGTACTTACAAGGGTACTTACTACTTATAAACAAAGTTAAATTTTGTTTGCCAAGCAAAAGTGTTGATGAATAATACCTAATAAAAAGATTTTTATACAAACAGGGATATGTTAGTCTTAATACTGTGAACATGCGAGTATAAAACCACGTTTTATAATTTCATAAATTAATATGTAATCATTGTTTTAGACAAGGTTTTAGAGTAGTCTTTTGGAAGCTGATATACCAACTTTTTTCACTTTATTTACCTATTTATAAATATCACTGATATTCCCTTTCATTTTATGTAAGTTATCAATTCTAACATTGAAAGATAAATCATCTAAGTATAAACCTAATTTAATCTCACTTATTTTTTATTTAATGAATGTCTCACAGAGAGCATCTCATTGGTAATTTGTATTTATAAATGATACAGTTTAAGCACACATCATACTTTTCTATTATACTTATCGTCTATTTAATTGCATACCTTAAACTTTTTTTTTAGCTCTTGGTGCTGCATATGGTACAGCAAAATCTGGAACCGGTATTGCTGCCATGTCAGTAATGAGGCCAGAACTTATTATGAAATCCATCATTCCTGTTGTCATGGCTGGTATTATTGCTATATATGGTCTCGTAGTAGCTGTCCTAATAGCAGGAGCTCTGGAAGAGCCCTCTAAATACTCCTTGTTCAAGTAAGTTGATAAGAAAAATGTTTAAATAAAATCAGACAAATGGTGTAGAATGAATTAACACTTTGCAAGGATTACTAACTTTTCATTGTTTTTTTTATAGGGGATTCATTCATCTTGGTGCTGGCCTTTCCGTAGGCTTCAGTGGTTTGGCTGCTGGTTTCGCAATTGGTATTGTTGGCGATGCTGGTGTCAGAGGCACGGCCCAACAGCCCAGATTATTCGTAGGAATGATCTTGATCCTAATTTTCGCAGAAGTATTGGGATTGTACGGACTGATTGTTGCAATTTACCTATACACTAAATAAACAATTTTCCCTCTGAATAAACATAAAAACAAAACAAATTTTTTTTTTTGTAACAAAAAAAAAACAAACAAACCGTGAACACCCAAACAATGCCCTGTTGTTGTCGTCAATACAAACAATATACTACCATAATATTATAAACATTTTAGTTGAAAGGAAATCAAATTTTTTGTGCCCTTACGCCACTCACCCAAGTAGTTACGTGTATTCTTCCTTCCCCCAGCTTTCTAAACCATTTTTCCATTCACGTAGCAAAATAAGTAATAATCTTAAAACTATTTTAAATACGTATATTTAAATAAAATAAAATGATGGCCATCTCATGTATCAAACGTTATATTTTGTGTTTTATTATTATTATTATTAACTTTTTTTTATGTTTCAATGAGTTGTATTATTAAATATTGTTCCCTCTCTCACTTTTAAATGTTACTTAACTAAGAGGGGACCACCCTCAAACATTAAATACTCTATGCGATGTGATGCAATCTAACCTTAGACAAGTGTGCGATTGTTCAACATCTTATCGAGTAACGTACACTAATAATAATAATAATAATAATAATAATATATTAAATTATTTAAATTAATATTACTGCAGTTCAGCACAAATATTGTAGCTGTACAATTTGATGAAAACTCGTAGTTAAAGTATTATTGTTTGTTTTTTTTATCATTCTTTTTTTTTACATTTATTGTAAAATAAAAGCAGGCTTACATGGTTACTGGTTATTTTAAATTTTTATAATAGAAATTAATTGAAAGTATATAAATTTACAAAACAAAGTTTAAAACAACTATTAGTGTTTTTAATAATTATTTTAAGTGAGCGTGCATCTAAGACGTGTTAAAACATTCCAATGTATTTGTAATTTTATCGTATAATCCAATGGAAGTATATTAATATTACTTACAATTAGATATTATATATTCATACATACATACCTTTATATATGTATATATATATAAACACTTATAAAAAAATCTGCCATTAAATTATTGTTCGTTAGTTCAAATAGTTATTATTACCTCCTGTTAAATAACCCATTTGTTTATTTTCCATTCATATCAATCGCGTGTTTATTGTTTCTCATCATTATCAAATTATTCGTAACTATTATTATTATAACTGTTCAAAAAAAAAAAAAATTTAAAAAAATCCACTATTTATTTTATTATAGTTGTGTATAAATTATGTGGTTAACATTTGTTTTATTTTTATTTTATTTTAATATATATATATTTTTTTTTTTTTGGTTATTTAGTAGACACTTAATGCAGTAAAATCGATTTTTTTCAATTGTTTTTAGTCGTTTTTAAACAAAACAAATTTAAGTCTGTAATATATTATTACTTAGACTTGAAGGAAATTCTAAGGGAGTAAATTAAACCTATCTAATTTTCTATACCTAAAATTTCCTAGGAATTTCAATTATATAGTAATAAAACAAAAATTGTTGTTAATCATTGCGTTTGTTTATTTATTTGTTTTCGTTTTTAAATAATTGGAATCCGTTCTAAATTACTTCTGTTTCAATCTTGCTGCGTAATGTTTTACCGGACGGCTGCATACACTCTTACAGTATATTATAATATACCTACTGGCGTGGCAATAAAAATCTAGCCGAATTTTCGAGTGTAAGTGATGATTGGAAATCGACGTGCAATTTTTACGTGTCGTCACATCCGATGTTTTTGTCTATTAGACTTTGGAAGCAATCGTGACGTGGTAGGCCTCTTCGCCCGCACCACGGTTGACTGTTGAGTGTTAGTATGTGCCAAGGAGGTCTGCCGCGCATGTGATATACTACGACTGTGACCTTAACGCCATATTATAAAATGTATAAGAGTAAAAAAAATTTAATACTGACATGAATAGCAGCATAATATGTTTGATGACCGACCACCACCTGTTGAAACAGAGGACGCGGCTGGTCAACGATTTATTAAAATTATTATTTAGCTTGTTGGTATTGTGGTGTCCAGAACACATTTTTCAAATGCAGAGCTACGTTTTAAAATTAGTACGTGGATATCAGATGCTACATAGCCCACCTGTAATAGGTAGGTATATTATTATCTATATATGTAATGGCTAAATATACCGAACATCGCATTTGTACATATGTACATGATTCGTATCGCATACCGCAGCTCACGTGTCCAACAACTAATAATACCTACCTATGTAATAATTTCATTGCAAGTACAATTTCGCAGTATTCGGCGTACCTGTGCAATACCTTGAAAATATGACCTCGAATGACACTTTGAAAAATTAAAAGAAAAAATGCTCAGATGTAATGGATGTGTTATATTTAAATTTAAAGATGGACAATGAAAAATATTTTATTATAATAGCGTTTATAATATATTGTTATTGACTGTTATGATGTCATTAGACTTATAGTACAATTTGTTATATAGGTACGTACAGTGCTTAAGTCCCTTCTAGGTCAAAAATATTTGTTTTTAAATTACAACACATTAACTAGGTATTGAAAAAACCTTTAGAAATATATTGGGAATTTTCAATTTTATGTTGAGTTGGGATTCAATGTTAAATCATTTTATTTACCTACGATAAAAATAATTCAGAAAATGTCAGACAGCCTGTCGGCCATATACTGATATCGATCAGATATTGAGATGTATAATGGATTTAAAAAAATTGACAGTTTATTTTTTATTTATATATTGTTTTGACATTGTAATACAAATTTATAACGACCAAAAAACTTGACTATTTGTTAGTTTTTAAATCATACATAGGCTGACGTTGAAATGCCTTGAATGTATGTTTTGTTAGGGACTCATAATTTCTATGATTGAGTAATTTTTTCGGATGTCTTAATTTCTGGGTCTATTTATTAGGAGATTCACTATAAAAGTGTACTGTATTCCGTAAAACGCCGGGTTAGTCCACGCAGAACAAGAAAACAATACATAAACTTGACTTTTCCCAACACGGTGGAGGGGACTATCTAAATTATTTTTAAAAATAGAAACAAAACAAATGTGTGGTCGTGTGGACCCGGCATAATGTGATGCCGATGCAAGTACATGCAACTGCAGTAGATAGTTGCATCAATGCATTTTACACGAGTAATAGAAAGTCATGCGGGGGGAGTAGAATTTTACTTGGCATCGATAAATATAGATAAAACAAAACATCATTCTATTTTCTGAATGTATTTAAATTTGAATTCAACACGGGCGGAGAGTGGGAAGATTCCTTCCTATGGTACTTCCTACCAGGCCTCCACACAAGGTGATGTGATATTGTAGTACCTACAAAATATATGCACCACTAGTCTGCTGCACACTATTTTTTTTTTTTTTTGATCGTAAATGAAGCTGTAAAAATTAATTTGATCAATACCAATTACAGATATTATAAGTAGGTACCTATATGTTCATATTTTACTAAAATGTATAAGATCTTTATTTTATACCTACTTAATATTATAGATAATTTATTATTAAAAATTTAAGTTACCTATATGAAATGTATCTAATTGTTATTAATCAAATAATTAATTACAACAATTATAAACTCGTAGTTTTTAACACATTTCTAAATGTAATAAATAAAGAAAATATTAAATGTATTGGTTAGGCCGAAAAGGGAAGGGTCACGGCCCTCACAAGAAGTGCCGGAGGTAAGAGCCAAGGCTCTAATTATCAAAAAAATACGACAATACATTGGCTGGTTTTCAAAATTGTTTTCGTTTGTGGTATTCTGGTGACTGATGGTATGTGAATAATTTCATTACGTACCTGTAAAGTATTCAGTTTTTGAAGCTTTACTTAAAACGAGTTCCACGAAAATATCAAAAGCGCAAAGCTCATGATAAATTAATGTTAATGAAAATTGCCAATGATCAGAAACAAAAAAAAATTGTTTTTTTTTTATCAAAAAGATAGCGGCTGTGTTGGAATCGTTCACTGTAAAATTCGAATAATTTCTCAAAAAATAAAATTTTAACAATTATTTGTGTAGGTAATTCAAAATTATTATAAGCCTTAATTTATAATGTACACCACTGGAACCAAAAGTCTGCTCACGCCTAAGCTAACCGCGTTATTAGGACAAAACAAATGTAACAATTTACTCAGTTTATTCTATATAATTGATAACTATTATTTATATTATTATGTTTTTATTCATTTCCAGAATTTTAACTGAATTCAGTATTGAATAACATTTGACATAATTTTGATAATATGTGACCCCGAACCCGGTTGGGTTATAATACATTTAATATGGGTGTTAATTGTGGACGACGGTATAGAAGAGATCTATACAGAGAGACTCGGAAAGGTAATAAAATTAAAATAAATACAATTTAGGTGGATTGAAGTTAAGAACAATGTTGATCTTTCATTTTTGTGAAGCTATACAAAATAAAGTACTACCTCTCTGCTTCTCCCGACCACTAGATGTAGGTGTTCCTACCTACCTATCCACCCATTTCATCTATAATCCTGTAGTTTGGAATTTTGAATGTATGATGATCATAGATAATAGAATATGATGATGATTGTATTGTATAATAATATATTGTTTAAATGTGCGTTTCCGTCCACTCATGCACGGTTCACCCGACGACGATTAAAATTCGACGTAAGCCTTGTACTATTGTACATTTAACAGTTACAGCAGTTTGTCCAATATCGTGTAAAATTTAAACGCCGGATGTTCACTCGTGCTCGTCTGCAGTTGGGGGTCATTCGTTCACTGCAACCTTATAATAAATAATAATATTATGTAGAATGCGAGCATAATTATTGTAATAATTAAAATATTACTATTATATGTGAACAGGCATACTAGCGCGTAATATTTTTCAGCCGCAAGGTCTGGGAAGTATATGATATTTTTATTTGTCATTTCGAAATGGACGAGCGAGGACGGAGGACATAATATATTATTTATACCGGGTATTTAGATACCTACCCAGTTTATATTATCTTAAACAGAGTTCGCGGTATGCTACAGCCGAGGATTGCTATATTATAGCGGGGAGAGTCATCTCTTATACAATATACAGAGTGCTGTGTCAAAGGGATAATTTTATTTGGGCGCCGCTGTTCGTCTCAACATTTGAGTGGGTTGTGGCCCATGAGTGAGTAGGTATACGCTACAATATATATACGAGTAGGTATCTAATCTGGTAATGTATAACATGAACTGAATTCAGGATTTTTCAGTGGGGGGAGGGGGCTTGAAAATGAATTACAATTGTATTTTCTCCAATAGTCCAGTCTAATAATGTCAGACCAGTTTAGGTGAGGTGTTTCAACATTTTTGTACTACTTAAACTTCTCAACTTCTCTAGTAGAATCTATCATTCATATAGTTAACTATCTATCTATAGTTGGTACCTTCGGGAGGACGAAACTGAAAATTCTGAAGTCATACTTTTTAAAATAATCAGGAAACAAAAAAATAAATAAATGAAAATTTTTTAAAATTGCAATATGATTAAAAAAATTGTTTTGGTTAGACCTCCTTTTCTCTAGCCAGCGTCTAGACTAGAGTATAAATCATTATTAACTATCATAAATTATAAAACTGTTACCTATTTATATTCTTCTTGAAGCTGTTTAATTTAAATTTTTATATTTGAAATTGTATGATTTACTTTATAGTATAAAGTCATCATCAGTGTGCCCTTAATATACACCATGTCACCATTTCAAAAAGATATATTATTTTTTAATATTACACATTATAATGGACTATGGTATATTTTAACGATAATAGTCATGGCAACTTAACTTGTAAAATTAATTTATTGCCTAACTAAATAACTAATATATGTATGGCCTATTTAGGTTATCAATAGGACTTAAATTTATATGCACTAAAAGTCTAAAAAAAAATACAAATGTTCATTATTCTGTTATTACATCAAAAATGACCAAATATGTTATTTTTTTTAAGGAAATTGTAGTTCTGATTTTAAATTAATATTTATTCATTATTTTAATTTTGAAAAAAATAAAATAGAATTTAAAGTATAATGCAGAACAAAATCAATATGGTATTAACTATAAAATAATTAAGTTGACAGTTGGGTAGGTACTAGGTACCTAGACTGAATTTCTATTTTAGATCAACTGAACTGGTAGTATTTATTATTACACAACAATACGACCAGGAAAAATATTGAAAAGCATACAAGTCTGAGCTGTTAAGTTTATTTGATATTGTTTTTTTTGTAAGGAAATAATCCTAACAATAAAAAATGTTAGTACTATTTAGAAATGTAATTGTATAGAAATTTTTATGCAAATAGTGTAGACTGATACAAAAACCCATAACAATATGAATGTATTTTATTTCTAATACAATAAAATAAAAAAGCGTTATGTATTTAAAAAAATAGTGCTACCAAAAAAGATGGTAAAAAGTTTTCATTATTTTTATATCTGAGTACAAAATTTAAAGTTGTTGTATTAAAAAACATATTTATTCTGATAAGGTCCTCCTTCATTCAAGACTCACTTATTCCTTAAAGTACATTTAATTTAAAAAGGAGATTATTTGAAAATCGATACATGATATTATATTATAGAACTTAAAACTTATAATTTTCATACAACAAAATTAAAACAAACAATTGAATAAATAAAACTGCCTGTTATATCTTGTCATTGTTGTTTCTGTACACTTCAACTTGCTGGAAAATATTCATCGAGCGTTAAACACAACCACTGAAAAAATTTGATTAAGGAAACTTTTACAAAGTGTTTAGATTAAATTATAAGCACAATACAGTTTATATATAACAATGGTTTTTTTTTTCACAATACAGTACCAGAAAATGTTTGGAAATGTTGCTACATGAATATTGAACACATTGAACAAATAGTTTATAAGACTAATTTGAATATCAAAGAAGCCAAAACGGAAGAGCAAGGAAATAACCCACTAAGTGTTTTTATATAAAGTCCTTAATTAATATATAAAAAACAATAACAAATAAAATATATAATGTATATACAAGTGAAATCAAAAACCTAAACATTCAATCTTAAGTTTTAATTATTAGTTAAACAATTTTATTCTGATTGATCAATGTTTAGGTAACATAAATTTACTTTTATCTAATTGAGAATATTTATATTACACACATAATAGAACTTAACGGATTGGTCTGAATTAATAATTGGATTTGTTTTAGTAAATATGTTAAATTTAATTTACTTAAGTAGTTAAGTAGCATATTAACTGTAGTAGAATATAATACAAAGGTATTTAGATCAATAGATAGAAGTACTAGGCAATTTGTTTAACACATTTTACTATGTAAATACACTCTAAACCTTGACATCAGAATAAAATAAACAATCAATGTGTCTAATTTTACAAAGAACTTTCAGATTTTAATACTTTATAAATATATTTATTTTAACATTTTGAATATAAAGTTTAAAATATTAAACAATTAATTATTTTAATGAAGAACCGTAAATAATAAAATTAGAAAATATATTATAGTGGCACTAATACATAGAAATCAATAACCAATAATTTATTTATACTATTAAGTATGCAAAAAGAAAAAGCAGTATAAAAAAATACAAGGAAGTATAATGGAAAATCAATCATTTTCTACTTTGAATGAATAATACAGCTTTTAGTATGTATGAATACAATAATTTAAACTATTTGTATACTACACAAAAATATACATGCCTATTGAAATGTAGAATTGTGGGCAAGTAATCTGGGGCATGAAACTTATTTTTAACGTATTATTTGGAAATAAATGTTTATACATCTGAAATCATAATATAAAAAAAAAATAGTGTTGCTCTTCAATTGTATGTTAAGCACATATGGTTCTACAATTTAAATTAAAAAGAGAAAACATTATTAAATTTCACCAAACTCCTTGAGTAAATTTGACTATAATATTGATTAACACTAAATATAACTGGATAATCAAAAACAAAGTTAAAGAAAAAAAACTACTGTAAGTTACTTGGAAGGCAATATTAAATTGTAAATAAAATCATTTGTTGTTCATTTACTTTTGCTAAGTATACACTTTACCGGATTAGGAACGATACCTTTTGTTAGACAACACCAAAGAGTGGGGGAAGGGTTGAGTGTCTTTATTTCCAAAGCATAAAAACATGTCTGAAAGAACTAATAAGACAATCCCAATATAATGATTAATATAATAGCGTACTGAACAACACTTATGATTTAAGAGTACCCAGTCCTGAACTATATCTATCAATAAATTAAAATGTGGTACAAAATTAAAATCTTAGAATACTAGAATAGCAGTGGCATAGCACACATTTTATTACTTATATCTGAATAATTTGTTCAGGTTTCAGGTGCTGGATGTATTCGGATGTTCAAACATTAAAAAAATTAACTAACGTTTTGGTGTTGATAACCATTATTATTCAAATTGATACAAGCTAATAACTTAATAAAGGTGTTTTATAGTTAGGTTAAAAAAAAGAAAAATGAAAAGTTATCAGATAGGAACATAACATAAATAAACCATATGAAAGACATTTCAAATACTCCCCCCCCCCCGTAAAAAAATAAAAATTTTGAGTATACATATTGAATAAAATATTCCTTTTAATAATTAAAATAATGAAATGGTTAACCAAAATGTTTTATTCGAGTTTTGGTTAATTTGAGAATTTAAAAAAAAAATAGTTAAAGCCCAATTAAAAAAAATAATACTTTGATAGACAGCAGCATCTAAATTGTGTGAACAATTAACTCTGAATATAAAATAGTTGGAAAAAATAGCGAGTTATATCAGTATAGTGTATACCAGAGGTCTCAAACTGTGTGTCGCAACTCCAAGGGGAATAGCAGTCTCTTGCTGTAGCACAGGAGTAGAAAAAAAGTAATGATTACGATTTGTTTTTTTCTAGACGTAAACACTTAATCACAGTTTTCTAGGTATAATTATTATTAAAACTGCAAAATTTGTTTTCCTGTGTCATTAATAGTTTGAAAGCCACCAAAATGTTGTCAAAAGATGAAGGTGCTGAGGAATGAAAAAGTTTGAATATCTACCTCTGGAGTATATCATTGTTTAATATCAAAAAATAATTGTAATGACAATTACAGTTTGGTAGAAAATTAAAAACATTATTATTGTTCAGTCAAAAAATTGTTTCAAAGTATATTATGGTTGATAATAAACACTTTATACCCATATAATTTTTTTTATAAATATTTTTAAAAAGCAGTCTTATTGTATTTACTGTTTTGCTTAACACATTAACAGACTTTGGGAACCGCTTACATAATTTATCAGAAAATTGTTTAGTTAAGGTAGCAGTTGCATGATGTAGACTGAAAGGTTAGGTCAAACCCTTGAACATCTATGCATATTCAACAGCTTACTGATTTAATATAAAGGATAAAATGTTTGCACAGACACAATTTATTTATAGGTTGAGTACAGTAATCTTATTGAACCTATCGACTCGTCTCTCTTAACCAACTCAATTGCCATATTACGCTATGGTACATGAGTATGCATAATCAGACATGTTGAACTATTTAAAATTTCAAAAGGATACATCTTTTTGTTCGTTTCTTATACATGATTCGGTAACCACACTCTCTGCATCGGATCGGGTCTTTGGGTTTCATTTCGTTCTCAGCTTGGCAAGCTGTCATTGTCCGCGCACAAGAAACAAAAGACAAATTATTAAAATCGAATCAAAAACGAAAGTGCCAATGTCTATAATTGTGGGTACAATTACAACAGAAAATTATGCAAGTTGTTGTCGAAACTAGAAACACACCGAATAAAAATAGGCACGTTTTGATATTTACCTCCACAAATGTAAATGAGCGCTTTTTTCGGGGCATCGTCCGGCGTTTCAGCTTCAGTAATCATCGTGTACGCCGGTTTTCGGCTATCGTCGCAAAACGAATTAAGTTAAAAGACAATATTTAATATCTTTTCTATGACAATATTATTCACAATAATTGTACTGCCATTTGCCGCGAGTCTGGACAGCCGACGCAGACCACCGGTTATCTCTGAGTCTCTGACGTTATCACTGAATCGATTTTCAAATCATTCCCGCACGTGCGCGTGTGTAGTTGTTTCCAAGGAAGTTGTATCGATAGCGCGGGCAAATTTAAAGCGCCTTTTCGTGCGTGTGCATCAATATTTTAATGACATTATGATCAATATCGTGTAGGACCTATACTATTGGTATTTATTCACTATATTTACAGCTTTGAAATTAAAAGTCCTAAAATGGTAGTGTGGAGAAAAAAATACTGTTAGACGGCAGCCTGTAATACCAGAATTACTTACACATATTATTATCTTCCTCGCATATTTTCACGCCCATATAAATTTAGGTTTTTTGCTAGTTATTTATGAGATAATAATAGATTTACTGAAAATAAAACAATAATTTAATTACTTACATGAAATTAAAGCCCTCCTTTCAAAATTAAACTCCCATATTTATGTTTGTTCTTATTTTTATTTAATTAAAGTTGGTTAATATTTGAAAACTAAAAACTTTTAACATAAATATGTTCTTGGGCTGGATATCGACAAGTTATTTCGTTTTTTCTAACCAAACCTAACTTGAAACTCAAAATTGGATCCCATAACCAAATACATAGATCTTAAAAGAGATTTGTGTATTATATGAATTTGACATCGATTGGGATATTTTACTAGGGAGAAATAGGGAAATAAATTGTGGGAAGTCAATGTAATCAACGTTGAGAGCTTTTTTTTGTAGTGTAAAGTGAGAGCCGATGCGCCCCAAATCGGTCTGTCATCGAGCATATAATTTCGAGACATTGACCTTCCGAAGATTTTTGAGTTTGTGTATATTTTTTTTTATTTGCCGCTATTGGCCAATTTTCAATCAATTTTAAATGAGTTTATATAGAGCTGTAAATGCTAAAATAATTGGTATATGATAATGCTCGTGATTGGCCATAGGTAATAATGTTAATGTATAAATGTTATGTTCACATTTAAATTTAAATGTTAATTGGGTAATTTATATAGGTATAATAAAGTTTAGCTGGTATCTTTATAGTACCTAAGTTCTGCATAAAGTATAATATGTACAAATAGTTGACATTTTAAGTTATCCTTATCCACTATTCACTAAATAATTCGTATGTTGTATAATGCTTATAAATGCGCAAGTTTAGGTGTAAAGAATTTTATACTGGCAAATAGGTACTTGATATTATAAACTGTTCACTGATTGTATACAGAAAATAGACATGATACGAGTAAAAGTCGCATTTATATTTTATGCAATATACCTGACGCGAATATTCTATGGCGAATAAGCCAATAAATCGTTAAAAATTGTCCTTACAATATATAACAGTATACGAGTCAAGGTCTCATAAAGGTCCCCACCAATTATATATTACAATGAACAACAATAATAAACTGCACTTCTACGAGTTTAAAACGACAAATACGATGACACGGCACGTGGACGACGGATACTATGCAAGGGTCGCATATTCGACGGCGATTTGTTCAAATTAAATATTATTATTATGGTATGGGTAATATGGGGGGTAACTGTTAGATCGAGTTATTTGCAAAATTTGGCTTAATTTTGTTGTATTCAAGCCGATGGCGATACTGACGTGTGCACGTTTTTGTTGTATATGTACTATGTAGAGGTCGGAATTATATTATTTCGCATATTTGTTTTTGAGACTATGTAATCAGCCGAGGGCTTAAAATCTTTACGATTCGTGAAACGTCTAAATGAATTTCAAAATTTTTTTTTTATTATTGAGAACTCATCGATTAATTTTATTGATTTTCGATATTTTGGGTTTTTTTGCTGCAGTGGCTCAAATATAGTATACATTTTTATGAGAACATTAATTATTGTTCGTTATCATTCACAAAACGATGAACAGAATAGCGATAGACGGTTTTATTTAAAAGTTAAAAACACCATCAAGTAAATTAAAAAAGTTAATTGCACTGTGGATACTAGAATTAATAACTAAATTAATACAATTTATATATACCTATTTTACAACTGATGGCACAACTTCTTTTTGCCCAAAAAACACATACCGTGCATTAAAAAGTCAGAGCTATCTCAACATGTATTTAATGCATATAAAAGCATATTTTGAATTTAAGAAAATATTATATTTACGTAAAAGCATATTATATACTATGAATTTTAAAGAATATTAGAAGAATATTTTCAACTTTTTAAGAGAATATTAGCATCTTATTTTGACATTTTTAAGAGAATATTATTGTGGCCTTTTGTATAACTTATGTCTTATATGTGTTTATGAACTGTATTGATCGATATTTTTTAACAAACGATGCGGCTGAACGCAGTTCCTCCTTTAGTAGGTACCCACCTATGTATCAATATATAGGTAGGTAGGTACGTGATTTAAAAAATAAAAGTTATTATGGCCTAGATTTTTTTCATACCTTTTTGAGAAAATCGCATGTTTATGAGTTTATGGTAATATGGTTTTTGATCAACTTAGCACTATAAATATAAATTATAATGTTTTATTTAACATACAATATGTCTACAATGATGAGTATTTTAAAATTATGTCAATTGCTTGTCATTGGTAAATTTAAAAAGTAGTCATGTTTTCTCAAAAAAATTTTTGGTTGGCCGGAAGAATTAGAAATAATTAATTAATTAAAATAATAAATTAAAAAAAAAATTCCATTTTTGCTAGAATTTACTATTTAAATATTGGATGAGTAATTAAAAAAGTTTACTAAGTAAGTATTGCAGTTTCTGTAGTTATTATACATTACAGCTAATTGCTTTTGTTATCTGCAGCTATAATTACATTGCATTCAAAATATTAATTAAACATTTAAATACATGAATAATTAGCATAATAAGTGCGTGTATGTGTGGACATAAAATATATTAGTAAAAATATCCATTTTTATTGTAACTTTATATTTTAGCTAAAACTTTCAAAAAAAATTTCGTTAAATTCTCTTTTAAGCAAAACGAGTACATAAAGGAGTATAGTATTATTTTTGTATTGTATTCATTTATTTTCTATTTACTAGTTTACCCAATCATATTGAAGCTAATTTGCGTAGATAGTCTGCAGCAGATATTTCATACCTCATTTTAGTGATATTTAAATAGGTGGTTACAGTGCCGTATTTCCCAGTAAACACTATAAGCTAGTGCTTAGAGAGGCAATTTCTCAAGGGAGGCAAATAATTTTTAATATTACATTTTTACTATATGTAACTACAACTAAAATAAAATGAAACTAATTATAAAATGTTTTTAGACCAACTGGATTGTGGTAATATTTATATTTTATGGTTTTCCAATTTCATAATCGTAGAGTTGCATGTTTTTATTTTTCATCATTAAAATTTTAAGTAAAAAATAAAAAACTATAACTGTATGCTTTAATAACATTTTTTAGACTAGAAAAATATTTATATTAAAAGGTGGCAAATTATTTAGTGCTTAAAGCGGTACAATGGTTAAATCCGGCACTGGGTGGTTATAGGAACCAATTTTACGTATTATAAAATGTAGGTACAATGATTATTTATTTTTTTTATGTTACTATAGGTAGGTAGTTTTTAAATTATTGTGCATTCTAAGTTTTATATTTTTTTACAGGTCTACGGGGACTTATTTTATCGGGACTTCTTATGTTTCCTCAGGTTTTTAAAAAATCATAAAAAAATAAGCAACTTGACTTCGATTAATATTTTGACAATCAAAAGTTCACTAAAAACCAGATTTATAAATTGGTTATTTTGAAGTTTTTAAAGAAAAAATTGAATCAGGTTTAAAATTTTTTATTTTCAGTATTAAAAACTAAATAAAAAAAAATGTTATTATTAGCACCAAAGAGTCAATAAATTATACATAAAAAAAAAATTGATTAGAATAATAATTACTCCATTTGTCAAGTTTTCCTGTTACACTCTGTCATACTTCAGTATACAATCAAGTAAATCATTATTCGTTCCGGTTAAATAAGTCAGTGTCTGTGACTATACTGACTGTAAGCGTAGTGCGTACATAGTACAATAATTATAATATAGGTTATAAGTTTATAAATTATATTTTATTATATTATCCTGCTCAAATGTTGTGCATTGTTAAAATTATTTTGAATGGTACTCGAATGAAATGTAAAAATTAAAATTTTAAATATTTTATGCGCTCTTGGATTACGCAAGTATAGACGGTATCATTAATTCAAAGGCACGATTTTATCGAACTCATTGGTAGGTACGTATTTTAGAACACACCTCGACTCGACGCGTCGTCATTATTCATTATATATATAGCCGTGTACAATTATTTCATCAGTTATTACTTATTATATTTTTCTTTAAAAAGAACTCCAAACGAACAGTCTATAAAATAGTAATCGTCGATCAAAACTAATGACAGGTACCGTACCTATATAACCTATAGTTTTATTTGCCAAAAGCGTTGTAAAGAATATTTCAGAAAACTTATGCTCGTATATAGTCGTTCGACTAATATACACATATTATATCTAATATTGTATTATATATACAAGCGTGTGGACTTTCCGTATTCGATTTTTTAACTATTAAATACACACAAACTTTAAAATATAAAATATTAATAAAAAATATCAACTTCGGTATCTTTTCTTATCCATATTCATATTTATCAGATAAAACGGATACAAAGCCATCAAAATAACATTGACGCGTCCATACTCCTGTGGTGTATTGGTATAGTTATACGGAGGTATTAATGTATTATACGTCGTATATACTGACTTCTCTAGTTTTCCTTTTAAATACATACTCTAAAATCTGTAAATGACTAAATTTGTGACGGTACGTGGCTACCTATGCCAATTATAGTTTTCAGTGAAGAAAACAAAATATTCTAAAATTATTTATAGTAATTTTCAATTCTCGGGTACCAAGTGATTATTCAAACATATTATAAGTGCATATATTTTAATTATATGTGTACATTTTTACCGTCTATATATTCAAGCATAATATTATATAAGAACATTGAATCAATGAGTTTACTGGCCTCAAAAATTTGTTTGCGTATTAATTATTTTATTTTTCGTCCTTATCAGTTAGGTATATTTGAATGCTGTACATATTTTGTAGTAAGATTATTCACGACTTACAGTTTTAGCTTACTCATTATTACTAATAAAGTAATAACTAATAACTTGCAAATTTGCTATTATGCTATATACCACCTATATATAGACGGATCCATTGGCGTAAATAGGGGGGGGAACTAAGCAGCTCCAAATTTCGGCCAAGTTCCTCCAATTCAAAAGTTTGTACTTAGTATACGTGTATAGTATATAGGTAGGTCATAGCGAGGTTCTATAATACTAGGTATATAGGTACGGACGTATACGGTACTAAAATACCTAGTGGCTGTTGTAGCCCTGTAGGTATATGTATAACGACAAACGAGCCTCAGTACCAGACACTGCGTGTTTGTCTTCAATGTTTATATTATGTACATTTTCGTCATGATCCATACATTTTACAATTTATTACAATATACTCCTCCACCGACCTCTCGCCATAACTTAAAAACTTTCTTTTATCTAACTAGGGGCAAACAAATATTTAAAATTACGTCTCAAACACGGTGGTCTCGACTTTCGAAGGAAATCGGAAACGTGTGGTTTGATATAGGTAATAAAATAAGATGCACATAATATTACATATTATTTTATAATCGTCGGACGGTGTGCAGCTAATATTGGTGACCTATAAATTATAATAATTATCGAGTATTGATCTATTACTTAATACTTTGTCCCCGTTTCGCCGATTTCGGCGACCTGTCGATCGTAGTCCCAATGTGGGGTCCGTCGACTAGAGCGCGTCAGCCGTACTCTCCGATCGACGATCAATCATCGACGGAATGATAAGACGTGATAACAGATAACGATTAAGGGCGCGCGCGCGTGAGTGATCGAGCGATTCGAGCGACTTACGGCCGCGGCGGGCTGAACGGCTGGTGGTGTTTTGCGTGGGTTGTCTAGTTGTTATGCCGTGGGGTTAATGTGTTTTTTTCTAGATCATTGACCCCTATTATTATATTATTACCTCGTTCTCGTTTTTTTCCCTCTACGTTTTTTATTTATTTTTTATTCCATTTGCCCACATAATACCCGTGTCACTCCGAGACAATGACAAGTGCGAAATAAGCCGTCTGGGTTAGTGGGTTGTGCCATTATTCCGGATTCCGAACTACACCCCAGCATTGAATTATCATTGTCGATAGACGACCTTAGTCAGGTTTAAATACCTTTTTATTTTTCTTGTTTTCCATTTTCTGTCGTTCACTAGACTACCTACTGTTGCTGGGACATCGTCGTCATTGACCAATTGGGCTGCGAGATGAAATTGAATCGTGATCGGCATGCACGATAGTGTGTTAGTGGTTGGTTCATCAATAAAGCATGATATCTGTTGGGACGAATTCAAAGATGGCCAGTAACAGGACTAATGCTGCTACCTCCGCCGCCTCTGGCACAGATTGTGAGTACTCAACATCATTATTTATACATTAGGTATACTTAATTACTAAAATCAGTTGAACTTCTTACAAAACAATAATGTGACAGTGACTACCATTCTGTCTCAAATATTTGAGCTTGTTTATAATCTATATAATTTTTTAGGCTTCTTGGTAAATTTTGAAATTTGTTATTGTTTAATAGTCATACTTCATATTTAATAAATCTTTGATTACTTAATAGATTTTAAACATTTACTTAAGAAAATGCAATACTTTTTATATTGTAAACCAATTAAATTAATACTCATACTTAATCCAATACTAATATTTACACTTAGTGATTTGAATGTGTCATGACATATTACTTAAATTCAATTAGTTTAATTTTCTGGTAGTTCAATCGGTTTGATTATTAAAGTTTTAATAAAATTGTTGTTTATTGTATAAGCAATGTCATTGATAAATATTTGTACATTCATTTTAACTACAAAGAAAAATTTACATCGCTTTCTTTTTTGTTTTGGTTATTATTTCAAAATGTAAAAGTAATTAAAGAAATACAAATATATTTAATCATCTATGCTTCTACCTAAAAAGTATTTACTAACTAAATTTTTTTCCTCTATAGCAGAACAGACGGCTGAACAAATAGTACGTAAAAAAACAATTATATCACCCGAAGATGTATTAACCTTGTCGAAAATTACAGAAGGTAATGTATATTAGTAATTAGTGTCTTATGAGTTCATTTATGTATATATTTTTTTTACAGGGTATTTATGTGCTCCAGATGCAAATATATATAATATAGATTTTATACGTTTTAAGATACGTGATCTTGATACAGGCATGGTATTGTTTGAAATTGCCAAGCCTTCTGTTATACTTGGTATGATAAACTATTGTAACGATTCAATACATTACAATATTATGTGTATTGATTTTATATTATTAATATGTGTAATGTGTAATATTGTTTTTTAGACGACAATCAAACTGAAGGAAAAGTAGAGGAGACAGATCTAAATAGTGGCCGATTTGTACGCTATCAATTTACACCCAAGTTTCTTAAACTGAAATTGGTTGGAGCAACGTAAGAATTGTAATAAATATTTTTTTGCTTCATTTTATTCTATCGTTCATCTTTCAGTTAGAGTACACAATGAATTTTTCTAAAATGTTGTCATAAATAATATCATTTTTTAAAAATTATTTTTATTTTTATCTAATTAATAGTGTGGAGTTTACTGTGGGGAATAAGCCAGTTAATAAGTTTCGCATGATTGAACGTCATTATTTCCGCAACAAATTATTAAAGACATTTGACTTTGAATTTGGTTTTTGCATACCACACAGCAAAAATACATGTGAACACATATACAAATTTCCTAATTTGGATTCTGAATCGAGTATGTGTATTAGTTATTAATAAATATTCAATTTTGAAATTTTTTTATAATTTTACCTTTTGTATTTGCAGTTAAAGAAATGATCCAAAATCCATTTGAAACCAAATCTGATAGTTTCTATTTTGTTGAAGATCGACTCATAATGCACAACAAAGCTGAATATGCATACAATGGTGGAGTTTAGTACAGCTGAGACAACCTTTTATGTTAATATTTTTATTTCATATAGGTTTTATTTGGTGAAGAACAAAACCATTAAACATTAAATTCAAATATATAAAATAATGAACAGTTAAATTATGATAAATAACAATATAAATAATAATAATAATAATATAGGAAAATATATTTAAAGGCAAACATCATCTTAGACAGCCAATCATTGAACATAGTTAACATTTCACAGTTTTTTTTTTATCTACAAGTTCTAACATGTTTTTACATCACATTGTGTGGTCACACTTGTCACATTTTTGGATGTGGAGTTGCACTTAACACTCCAACAAGTTTGCTATTCTTTTAAAATCTATTTGAATTCAAATATCACAGTGTTCTATGAGTATAAGACATAGTTTTATACATTATTTAAGTTACCTACTAGAATTGTTAATTGTTATGAATCTCCCATTATAATTGATAAAAATAAATCACAATTTTATTTTATTTCTGTGATAAAAAATAAAACGAGGTTCACTATTATTAATAAAATATAAATACTATGGAATATATTTAACAAAACAAAACATTTTAACATTTTTACAATTTATTCAAATTATTGAGTTTTTAAGAATTATATAATATATTGTATACATTTAATGTTTTTCTATAAGTGCGATCAGGTTTAAACTATCTTTTAATTGTTTTACTTAGTCCTCATTAAATGTAATTCAAGCAATATTTATTCAATTTTGAATGAGTTAACAATAATATACTAATGCTTTGAAACCAAACACATTCATAAAATATATAATTTATTTATTGCATACTTTTAATTTATAGTATGCTATATTTATTTTGTGATCTCTAAATTAAAAATACAACTATGACATTCCAATTGAAAATAAAATGTTATTATCATTTAATCATGGCTTTTTATTATTGTTTTGTTGGGTCAAACAAATCTGTTTAGATTTGCATAATAGTTAAGTAATTTCACAATTAACTTGTATAATTATAAGTTATAAAATGTATTAAGTGTCAAGGCCTACCACTTAATACATTTTATAAATATTAAGTTATTCATATTTATAGCTTTTAAATGTATGAAAAGTGATTGTCGTCACCTATGCTCTAGTAGTAAGAAAGTTATCCACTGTTGAAATAAACTTTTCAGTATATGTAAATTGTAAGATATGCCGGCCATCAGGAAATATTTCAAGTCTGTAATACAAAAAACAAAATCTATGGTCAGAAAATTATTGTTGTGTTAATATAGGTATAGACATCAGGGCCGTCCTTAGATTAGGTTAACTTTCACCACAGTGGAACAGGCTCCGCTTTTATAGATACAATAAAAAAGTCAAGTTGATAAGCAAAAAAGAAGTGCATAATTTATATTTTATATATTCAATTGTTATAAATTTCACTATCTACCAACCTATTATAATAGTTGACATCAAATTTTAAACGAGTTAATGATTAAAATTTAATTTTCAAAGCTAAAAATTATAAAAATAACTAACTTTCAAGCATTCTGTCTGAAGAAAAAGTCACCAAGTTGCTATAATATTTATAGAAAAAGAAATTGCTAACCAACCAAAATAAAATGATATTATCGACACATTTTCTGATTTAAAAAGTAGAAAGGACAAAGGTTAATTAATAATACATTTTTATATTGTATTAGCTAGGTAGGTACGTACTATGTTCAATTTTATTGACTTATTAATTTATCATTATTATTATATTACTAAGTTTAAGTATAATATGTGACATGTTGTGTTATTAATTTACTTACTTATTAGTTATTCATATTGTTAAAGGTACAAAGTACTATAATTTTAAGCCTATTTGAACCCTTGCCCCCTTTTATTTATGCATCATATATGCAAATAACAGTGATGACAATTTAGGCCTCTCAATTTTACTCTGTTCTGGGCCTCCCAGGTGAGGTCAGAACAACCCTGGCATACAAGCTGTATTAATAATAGGTACCTAGTGTCTTGCACTCAAGATTGTATTTGCCATTGGAGATATTTATGGGTTTCGGGTAAATTATGTTAGGGGCATAATCATTACATTCCTATTTCCTTGTGTTAATACACTTATTTTACCTTTTAGTTTATCGATACCCTAATTTTTGAATTTTTTTTTTATTTTTCACAAGAAATGATGTTTAACACTACTATATTTATTAATTATAAGTACTAAAAGTACTCATAACAGTCATCATACATATTATTAAGTATTAGAAAATGGAAATCAACGTACAAGTTAGTGAGAAATAAAAATTAATTGATTAATAGTAGGTAGGTACTGTATTTTTTTGTCTACCACTGCAAGTTACAACTCTACTTATTCTACATTCATAGCTCATTAAGTTAGTGACAGTTAGTGGTCCATATCACCACTAGGGTAAGTACTTGTTTGAATTTCTTTTAAGACATTCGTCATTCATACAAACAGAAATCTCTAAAATAACAAATGAAACATTACGGTTTTAATTTCTCGCACAGAGTAGGTGCAAAACTATGTGAAAAAGTCTAACTTGACGAGAAAGACCACGTGTTAACCAAAGTTCAAAACTATTGATTTAATTCTTAGTTGAACATCAATGTTTTTTTAAAACTATTTCTACATATTATCTAGCTGATTTCATCCAATCACGATTCGATTGAAATTCTACAAACAGCTACCTGTCGTTTTGCATGCACACCAACAAAGACCCACACGCCCCGACAGACTGCGCAGCTCCGACGGTTACCCAGGACCATGTTATACGACTATTGTACCTAACGCCAAACTCACGTCGAGCGCTTGATGTTTTCGTGCAGATATACGCCGTGCTCGAGCGGTACGAACTCGTCCTTTGCCCCGTGCATGATGAGCGTTGGCGCGTCAATCTTGGCCAGAGCGCTGCGGCACACGTCGCCGTCGTGCTCGTCGAGAATTTTCCGGAACGCGTCTATCCACCCGGACCAAGTGTCCGACACGTACTTCTCGCCGTAAAATCCGAACTGCGGAAGTCTCCTTCCGGCCGGCCAGTCGCTGACGTTGCGCGTCGTCTCGTAGAAGTCGAGGTCTTTGCCGGTGACGTACGCGTTGCAGCTCCACACCACCAGCTTGTCCACCCGGTCGGCGGCTCTGGTCGCTGCGATCATGGCGGTGCACCCGCCGTTGCACCAGCCCAACATCGAGTACCTGTCGATGCCCAACGTCTGCGGCCGAAACGAGCACCGTGTTATATAGTTGTGAGTCAACAGCAACGACTTTCATGCATTTCCACATTTTTCCTGGTTAACTTTATCGTGTGCTCATAACAAGCAGGCCACGTCGATAATTATTGATGGATAGTGATTTGTATTACATACCTATCACAACGCGTGTGATCAAATACTCAAAGGTTTTAGTGCATAATTTTGAATATTTTGACAAATTTATGATTTTAAGAGCATGTTTCAAGCTTTATTTAGTGCGTATTTAGATAGTTATCTATTTTTCAACCACTTTGGTAAATATTTTTCCCAAATAAAGTTCAACGACTATATTAATTTTGAATGAAGAATGATATCTCTGTCGAGTGTGTCGACTGTTTTATTACCTGCAGCTAGAAAATAGCACATAGAAAATTGAATTAAGTAAAATAAATAAAATATTTAATGAAAAGTGTTATTTTATTTTTAGCGCATATTTAAGTAATTTACTATTTTAATAAAATATTTGAAGAAAAAATTTAATTTTTTGGTGGATATGGGCGTGTAATATTTTTTTGAATCCATAATACCTATTTAACCACATTTTTAATTTTTCGACGCATTTTTAAATTCACATTTAATGATTTTTTTGTGCATAAAAGTCCTTGCTCTAATCGTTACCAATTACCATTGTATATGTTGGTGGCATCTACCTATATATAATATTTTACCTCCATAAGCGCAATGGCATAGTCAGCGTCACGGTCCAAGAATCCTGGTGAAAAATCTCTGTTTGGCGGTCGATTAGAACCGTAGCCGATAGGATCACATATGTAAATCGTGTATTTTTTTCCGTCTAGGTTTTCCGTGAGCGGTGTAAAATCGCTAATTTGACCTATAGAGAAGTTAATGCATTATAATATTACAGTGGAAAAATTCAAAATGTCCTGCACGATAATAGTAAAGCCATTATTTTACATTACTAAATTACTAAATTATATTATTATCAACGTAAGTATCTACCTAGTACTCCAGGAAATAACAACAATTTCTGTGGTCCGTTTCCAACCTTATAGTAGTTTATCTCGAAATCTTTGACTTTGATTTTCGTTGAAATCTATGCATAAAAAGAATTTTTCGAAAAGTTTAGCTTTTGTTGTAGTTCTTAAAATAAGTAGGTATCTCAATTCTCAAAAGATATTTTGATAATAATATTTTGGACATTTTATTGCTAGGTACCTACAAATGCATGCTCAGCAATATAATTACTTATACCACACCTATGACATATTTGATAATACAGATTTTAATGCTGGTAATCATAGTAGGCAGGTATATTGGGCTCAATAATTATTTCAAATGTCTTAACCAATTTTTCTCTCTGATACATGTCGATAACTGGAAATATTGACTAATATTTATACATTTATCAAATCGGATATGATGTAAAATGTATCAATGAGTTAACAAGTATAAGTTGTGCACTTGTGTTCGATTATTAGGTGCATAAAGGTTTTTTTTTATTCATCTGTTATAGTAGTTAATACAACTCGGCAACAAGGACCATTAGTAAAGGTTTATATTATTGTAAATTGTAGTTATAGTTCTCACGCGTTGTGTATCAAATTTGGATTCAATATCTTTATCGCAAGTATCTAATGTAAGTAATACGTTTTATTAGACAATCAAGAATATTTACAAACAATTTAGGTGTATTTAGCATCACAGGAAGTGCACCAAAAAACGTAGCACTTTTTTAGTTGAATTTTTAGAAAATACATTTTTTTTACCCTCAGACATAACTCATATTAATGTCAAAAAAGATTAAATTTATTTATCTCCACTGCACGGAAGACATTGAATCATGTAAATGTTTATTTGGTAGTCGTTCTTGCAAAATCGATTAACGAAATAGATACTATATTTTAGTTATCTATGTTTGGTGACCATTGCAACTGCGTTGGTGGTAGTGTGTAACTTAAAATAGGCTACTCGAAATTGAAAAGAAAATACTCGATACACCATATGGCATATACCTAATCAAAACACGATTAATCGATATAATACCTAACTGTAGTTATTGTTTGGTTGTCCTCTCCATGGCAACAGTAATGGTCAGTAAAATTTCGTATAAAGACCAAAAACATACCCATTTGACTATTTGTACATTATTAAAATGTAAAGATTTAATGAATTCACAATTTAAAACCAGTAGCTGCTATTTCTTATTATATTACCATTGTTTTCTCATATTTTTGTACTGTTTTGTTAAGTGGCATCACTAGCTGCCATTAGTCATTGCTTATACATTACTATAACACGGATATTATTTCTGATAAATATAAACCGGTATAATTTCATAAGCACAAAAATATTTTATTGTCAAACAATAATTATAAAATAAATATTTACATTTATTAACAATTTTTTAGCTCAATATAAAAGGTGTGTTAAGCACCCTCGAATGTACGCCAACAAGCACATATTGTAATTTACCTTTCGCTGACGCTTTTGAAATTTGGTAATTACTGACCAACCATTAATTTTCCTACCGGAAAAGTTACTGAAGTTGAAAATAAGTAAGATAAAGTTTTTAATTAAAAAAAAAAAATACTACACATTACAAAATAAATACAATATACCTACAATATACATTCGTTGCTACAAAATACTATTGCTATTATTATGTAATCAATAATAAAATATTATTGATAACACTTAATAGTATAATACATTTTTATAAATAAATATATTGACTTTATTTCCATGATTTTTTTTTCCTATTTACACAGCACTAATGGCGTGCATATAACTATGCGCGCAGGGTAATCATATACCTTAGGTCTATGGAGGTAATACCTACATCTTGAATCTAAATGCATAGGTTCAACTGTTCAAGGATTTAAGTGAAATATATTTATATATTTAATATTGTAATAGTCGTATTATAATTACCAGCTCGGTCGATACAGCTGTGGATCGTTGGTCCATCGCAAACGGCGGCGAAGCAGTTTTATTTAAAAACAAAAAATGACTATTATACTGTTTCGAAATTATACGATAACTGTATCGTTAGTTAGTAAATATTTATGATACCGAACAGCTTATCTCAAACTCGGTGGCTGGGCCGACTGCCGAGTGCCAGGGTGCCAAGCAGTAAGCACTGGCGGACTCGAACCAGATTCAGATGTGTTCGGTATCTCATTTAAATACTGGTTTTTGGACTGAGTGGTGTTCGCGGGATCGACCTCCTCACTAGTGAGAATAACGTTTGAATATCACTATAAATACCATTCGAATAAGATGGGTTATTCATTATTATATAATAATATTAAAAAGCAATAATTATAATATAAGACTTGCACCGATACCCATAAGTTAGGTTATATTTTACTAGTGAAATCCAGCAGACTTCTTGTTACCAGTGGCGGCCAAACTGTGGTGAAGAGGATAAATCCTCTTAAGACATTTATTTTCAATAAGTATTTATAACAATTTATATTAAATGTATTATAATATTATGTACGTTGCATAATATGTATTACATTTTTATTTAAATTTTTCTTTTTCTAAAACCGTAATTATTATCAACTATAGTAATTTTTCCCAAAATATGGCTACATGACTATATTTTTAAACACTTTCCTATTCAGGTTTGTATATTTAAGAAATACTAAGGTAGACCGTAGAGGTAAATAATAAATATGCTGTTTGTTATAATATGTATGTGAACCTTAATTTTTGACAGTCCCTGGGGTAATCTTGATAAAAAATTGATAACATTTGCAACGTACAGTACCTATAATATTTGAAACTTAATTTTTTAGGGTTTGTTAATTTCTTTTATAGTTCTTGTCTGTACATCGTTTGATTAGGTAGGTTGTGGATTGAGCGTGTAACGTCATCTCAGTTAGAAACTCGATGAACCAATTAACATTTCTACAGAGTGTGTCAAAAGCTATGATAATTAATACATAATTAAGATACACTAAAATATAGTAACTGTGACAAAAGTTTCATTAATTAATGCATTGGAATCACCGAAAGTATTTTTAAAAAAAAATGTCATAAAATACAAAATCAAGTTTTATATGCACTCCATGATACGAAAAGAAAATTAACTTGCGTGATAATAATAATTAACTATAAAAGGTGAAGTTACATCAAAATACATTTTAACTGTTAAAGAGTACAAGTTAAAAACGATTAATTAGTTAAGTAAAGAAGTTAGATTTTAGATAAGAACTTTAACTTTTTGACAAGTTAATGACCACCTTTGAATTTATTTTTATTCTGTCCCAACAGAATTATCATAATTATTCCTTGTCGGTCTACTGTTTTATTTAATACTGTAAGTCAATATAATGTATAGCCAAGAGCGCTATTAAGACTATGACATTGTGTGTTACTATTCTGTTAAATGTTGGTGTGATGTTTTCTATATTGTGTTTTATTTAAATTAGTTTTATTATACAGCAACTTATAATTACCAGAAACCGTGTTACCATTTTTTTTTCATAATTTATAAGCACATCCACTAATACCGGAAAACCTACACTCAAATACACATTTTGTATAACATGCATCTGCATTGGCGCTGAAATGCCGAATGAAATTAAAACTAACAGTTTAAATAATTCGATTGACACACCCATCCCTTCAAACGACTGAGAAAAAGCCTTCACTAACTATATATGTACACAGCTTAATGACATTACTGCGTTTAATAAAATTTTAGCAGCAAGACTAGTAGGTAAGTATACGCTCAATTATTTTTACCCACCCGGAATCTAGCGACCACCCAATTTTTGAATTAGTTGAATTAAACTACTCAAATTACGCGTGTTCACACCCCTGACACTCATTACGTAGTTTGACAGTATAACGGGAGTGTATCAAGCACCAAGGATTTATGACAAATTGACGAAGTATATATGCCAACGAATCTGTTTTATTTTTAAAAATAAATATTATTAATTGTTATATTGTTCCAAATTTTTTTTTTACGTTTTTAGAAAAATTATGTGATTGTTAGCCGTAAAAAATGTCACTGATTTCAAGCAAAATTCTCACATTCGGTGGAGGGATCTAATGCCGAATCCCGGGGTTCCGACTTTCCGAGCATTTCCGTCTACGCCAAGAGTCCCGACCAGTTCTACCATAATCAGATGTGATCATTGTCGGTATCTTATTTAAATTCTGACCCCTAAATTAAGTGGGGTTCGAGAGCTCTACTTTTGGGGTGGTATAATTTTTTTAAATTTATTGATTTTGGCAGTGAGCCAAGAAAATGTTACTTGCATCAAGTAGGCACATAGTTTATTCGATCAGTATACTCGGCAAACATCGCCTCCCACGTAACGTTAACACGATTTCGTGGTAAAGTTATTTTTTTGTAAAATGTAAATTCTTATATAATAATATTATTTTAATTTTAAAATTGATGGGTGATATTATCTATGCGGCGACAAAGGTCATTTGGAAACAAGTTATCTTACATAGAACATAGTAGACACTAGACTTAATTCTAATGATAGAGAAATATAAAATATATATTGGCTAGTTCAAAGACGCATACTGAGGTTCTAAACTGGGAGGGGGGATATATATATATATGAATGAAATAAATAGGAATAGCTAGGCATAGGAATTGTCTTAATATTAGTTGATATGAAAATTAGTTGTAAACAGAAATCAGGCGTACTGGTGAATGGTGATGGGTCTTATTGTTTGAGATTATGCCTACTTTTAATTTTGAAATGTTATCAATACCTACTAAACCATAGAACATTTTAATTTTAACTATGTATCTAATTTACTTTCATACATTTTAAACATACGAAACTAAGGTATCTAGTATCGAAGAACTCAATTTTCTTGTTTCACTCATAATTTATTTCTAGAAGAAAAGAAAACATTTTTAAAATAGTGGTCGTGGTGGATAATAAGATAGATATAAGTATTTCGATAACGATGCATTTGCACTGAAAGTTAATTAATTATTAATTAAGATAAAACTTAATACTACGAATAAAAACGTATTTTTATAAAGAGATTTTTATCTGCAATTTGAGCATTACTATTCCAATTCTAAAATGTGTAGCTTATTTTAATGTAAAAACTAATTCGATTATTAAAATTATTTTAATATGTACGTATTTGCAATAGTAATATATTATAATATTATGTTTCTTAATTTCCTTATTACATACGGTGTAGAATACAGGTTTTCGTGGATACGTTGTATGTGGTCTCCGTACACGAGAACAAAAATGCGCTGTCGCATACTCGACAGTGTCAAAATATTATTATGGTATTAAGTGATAAATGGTGTTTATAATCAATGGTGATACACATACATGATTATTTTATTATGAACGTTCCTTCGACGCACCAACGGAAAGAAGCAAAACCATATTGTAGTACGCTAATTAATTTCAAAATAGATGATGTACAAAATATATACATATCTTGGTCCGTGCTACTAGACAAGCAGCAACGAGTGTATGGAAAGCGTAACAACATAGAGGGCGCTTTTTGATTACTCGATTACTCGTACGCATGGCAGACAGTGCGGGGCAGTAAGGTAATGTACCAATATAATATTTAGATGATCGTATTTTGTCGTAAAGACATGGGTTACATCACTGCGAGATGTTGTTATGCCGCTCGTGATCCTGTAGTTGTAGTGTTGTTACACACAGTTCTCGTTTAGTGGTAACTAGTAACTGGTTGTAGATAAAATGTCGACCCACGGATGCCATGGTCACCTTTTTCAAAAATTATAAAAATAGACGTGGCTTAGTGAGGCGCGGTCGTACTCTCAATCTGCGGCAACGCTCTGAGCGCACCAACAGGCCGTCGTTGCTTGCACTCGGATGGGTCGCCACCCTGGTTTGTAACAACACGTCCTTGCCACACATACAAACGTGTTCCAACTAACCACCCACAACACAGTATATCTTTCATCGTGATATAAAATAAAGACAGTGGTCATAACTTCTTTGTCTTATATTCAGCATTTCAGTGAGAAAACATACTAACTACCTGGGTAACTACCATCAAGTAATTTATTTTTGATATCAATTTTTTTGGAAAAAACGTTGCTTCTGTCAAACGGTATTATTTGTATTGTAACTAACTTAATATATTCAATATCTACCGACATGGACTAACTGAGTGAATATGGCTATAGTAGTATTATAATACAATAGCTTAAATTAGTCTGAATATTATGAAAATGTTATTTTATGTAGTAAATAATAACAATAATAAAGCCGACAAATATAATCAGTTTTGATGAAAAGAAAAATGATGTAGCATATTTCAATTCAAATAAGTTTAAATTGAGTGATCTCGTAACACACTTATATCTAATTTATAATTTTAAATTAATGTAAGTAACGACTGATTTAATTTGTTTTTAAAAAAAACAACAAAACATTTAAAATTATCATGCTATTGTTGGAATTGTTGCGCATTATTTCGACTGGAATAGTGCAGGATGGTCAATGGTCATACGTGTAAAACTATTGCACTTTTCTTAAATTCTGGTTTCGCAAGGAGTGACTGAGTTAGTGACTTCTGAGCACGGTCTTAGCTCCTGAGTCTTGACGAATACCATGTAGATGATAGTATAATCTCTGAACATCATTTTTATACAACACGGGATTTGGATTGTAAAAAAAATCACTTCACTGATGGATTTAGACCTGCTCCGTGAATGTCAGCGCAATAGTACATGTCTTTGTCTTACCATAGTGAAATCACAGTAGTTTTTAATAGGAAGATATACAAATTAAAGTGTTGTTTAACATAAATATTAAATATACTTTAATTATAATATACTGACTTGAGATGTTGCAAATATTTTTTTAATATTTATAAGATACATATCTATTATAGTTAAAAATATGGCATATCATTCCAAATAAAAATAAAATGTTATGAAGGAAAGATAACGTATAAATATAATATATCTTACATAAATAAATGATTTAATTAATACAAAATAAGTAGTAATCTTTTTACCTATTACTGAACAGAAGTAAGAAAGTTATCCACCATCGAAATGAATTTTTCTGGGAACATAAAATGTATGATATGCTTGCCATTTGGAAATATTTCAAGTCTACAATACAAAAAAAAATTTCATGATTAATAATTGTTGTGATTTTTTGTTAATGTACATTATACACTATTGTCATTATATAAGTTATAACTTATACCTGAAGATTTAGTTATGTATAGATTAAAAGTATGAACTCGTATGAATACATTTTAAAACATTTAAAAAAACAAATTTCGAGTCCCTTTAAGCTTAAAACCAACTCATGACTATCACTGATCATAGA